ATAAATGTTCCTAAGAACTTCTTCAAAGAATTTAACAAAAGTATAACTACTAAAACACTAGAGTCAAACTCCTCTCCCTATTCAAAGGAGGGACTTAACCTACGGAACTTTAGGAATTATTATCTAGCCTCTCAGTACCGATCAATATGGATCTGGCTGCATGCAGAAAACAGTGAGGTAAGATGGGTCCCAATTCCGTAAAAATTCAAAAAATATCCACTGGACTTGGTTTTCAAGATTTGAAGACGTTTCGCCACCTCTCCAGGAAGCTTTCTCAATTCAAATGTCTGGATCCGCAGTGAGTTTGAGTCTTATACAGACAACGCCTTGTATCGCTTGAAAACATGCAATGGTTACCATTGCATGTTTCCAAGCGATACAAGGCGTTGTCTGTATAAGACTCAAACTCACTGCGGATCCAGACATTTGAATTGAGAAAGCTTCCTGGAGAGGTGGCGAAACGTCTTCAAATCTTGAAAACCAAGTCCAGTGGATATTTTTTGAATTTTTACGGAATGACTATGACCTGGATGACTGAGAACCTTCATCAGCATATGGGTCCCAATGGAACAAAATGAGATGAAACCTATACCTTTAAAGAATGTTCCAATCTTGGGTACGAAGAAATGTTTAGCCGCATTAACAAACAACCAAATAATACTGAATACATTCACTTCTTGGCACAAATCTTTCCTTTCTTAGAAGAGCACCTTTGTGGGGTAATCCCAGCCTCTCACATCACATTGCTGACTCAGCGTTGCGGGAGTGGAGGGATAGAGGAATCCAAACAGTTGCTGTTTCATACATTAATGATATAACTTGTAATTTTCCTCAGTTAAGTGAAGAATTTAAGCTCAACAAATATAGTTTCTTTATATTTTTAGGAATCAGAGACTGGGTTAAAGAGATTTCAAAAGAAACATCCCCAGACATCCCAAAAGAAACTCTTGAAGGCCACCTATGTAATAAATCATGCAGATAAACAAAAGGAATAATATCTTCTATATATGGTATCATCAATGGAAAGTTACCCATTTAAGATTAATAAAACAGTTATTAAAGGGAAATGGGGAAAAAAGACCAACCTCCACAAAACGCAGACAAATTCAGTTTATTTCATAGGACATATTACACTCCTTAAAGGCTACATAGAATTGAGAGTAAAATTTCCTCTAGGTGTCAGAGATGTAAAGTGACTGATGGGGATTTTATCCACATGCTATGGAGTTGCCCAATGACAAAGGAACTTTGGAAATGTGTCATTGTGATAACTTCAAAGGTAATAGGAATGCAAATTGAACAAGACCCAAAACTATGGATTCTCATGGACACGGGCCCTATTAATATAAATTATTACAAGAAGTACCTTATTTTACTTGCAAGTGCTGCAGTGAGGAAATGCATCCTGGTTAACTGGAAATCTGAAAATTCCCTGTCAGTAAGACACTGGATCAATGAGCTTGTGTCTTACTGCACACCTGAAAAGATACTATATAATGCTAGAGGAAAACATGCAATCTTTGAAAAAATCTGGGGCCACTTCATAGACAGTCTGCCCTCTCTGGACCCAGCTGTTGATGGTAGAGTGAGCCTTTCTGGACCGGCTTCAAATTAGCCCTTTGCAGGTTCTTCTTATATGACCTCCTCACTTATGTACCTTGATAGAAGTAGTGTGTTGAATTATACAGATAATATTTTACTCAGATGGATGTGTTGTGTACAGAAATGAAAGGATATTGAGAACCATACGAGAAAAGAGGGTGGGAGGGGAAAAGTTTGTTATATTTTGTTTAGCTGTTATTTTTTGGTGTTAAAAATAAAAATTCCTCTTCCCTGTTGTCACAGTTTTGGTTCTGCTATGTTTTCTTTTGAGTCCTCAGTTTTACTTTGTTCCATGTTTTCTGGTTTTAGTGGTTTAATTCCTATTTTGTTGTGTTTTCTGGTTATTTTCAGTTTTCAGGTTTTTATTTGTTGCCCTCTGCTGCCCTCTTGTGTTCTCCTTTTTCCCTAGCTCATTTCCTGTTCTGCTCTGTTTACACCTGCTCCAAATCTCCTCATTAGTTCTCTCTTTGTCCCATAAATACACTCTCTGTTCAGTTCCTCAGTGCTGGTTCCTCGTCTAACTTCCTCTAACTCCGTCTCTCTGAGTCTTCCTCCTCGTGAAAGTTTTCCCCGCCTGATGTCTTCATGGTTTCGGGTTTGTTTGACTTTGATTTCATGTTTTGATTTTTGATTCCTGCCTCAGTTGTTTGTTTACTCTTCATTAAATCATCAGGAAACTCACCTCTGCCTCCCTGCCTCTGCATTTGGGTCCTTACATCACAGCCTAATCAGACACTTGTATGCAGTATCTCTAAGACTATATATCAGTAAGTTTATTTTATAAAGTACAATTTTCATTATAATATATATAATAAACAAAATGACAAATAAAATCTGTCTAAGTCTAAATGCTTGCTAGACACCATAAATATCTTGTAAAAGCTTCTGTTAATAAAACTAATCTTAAAAAAAAAAAAAACAACAGCAGTGGTCCAAATGAAAAGTTCAAAACATCTGAAGGAGTGCCTCAAAATATCAGAAGACTCATTGATCCTTAAAAAGAAGGATTTTGTGTGTAACAGAGATTTTTTTTCAGATACCTACAGCTAAGACGCCTCTATACTAATCAGAGATGGGAAGTAACGAAGTACAAATACTTCGTTACTGTACTCAAGTAGATTTTTCTGATATTTTTACTTTACTACTTATTTTTATGGCGACTTTTTACTTCTACTCCTTACATTTTTCCACAAATATCTGTACTTTCTACTCCTTACATTTTAAAAAATTGGCTCGTTACTTTAGTTTTGAATCATTTCAATGGAGTTACCGTTATTATGTTTCACGTCATCAATACCAAAATAAATCTAATTGGATGGGAATCTACGTTGCATTTGACGCACCACTACAAGATGAATCGACAGATTCGGCGGTATTCATTTGCGGCAAATCATTGCAGCTTGGTGGCGGTGGCGTTAGCATAGTAGTATGGACGACGAGATGATTGAAAATGAACACAACGGAGATCTAGTCCTATTGGCAGACATCCATTTAAAATGTAGGCAACGGCATGAAAAAAGGGGTTTCTACTTTGACTTTTATACTTTAAGTAAATTTACAAGCCTGTACTTTGTTACTTTTACTTGAGTAAATAAGTTTAATCAGTACTTCCACTTTTACCAGAGTATTTTTTAACACAAGTATCTGTACTTTTACTCACGTACGGAAAGTGAGTACTTTTGCCATATCTGATACTAATGAAGTTGAGAAAGAATTATCACCAGAAGGAAATTAGTTGATTTAATTCTTTGTGGATGCATACACAAAACCCCCAACAAAACTTGTCTCTAAGCTATATAAAAGCTTACAAAAAAGAAATGGAAATGACTCACTCTATATTAAGTCCAAATGGAAAACAGTGCTAAAAGTGAAACTGTCAAAGACTGACTGGCTTTCAGTGTGCAAAACACAGCAGTCCTCCACAAGCTCTAGAGGCTGGAGGGAATTTGGCTGGAAAAAATTTATACACTAGTTTATAAATATTCAATTACAAAATAAATTATCCCACATTCATGGCAATATGGACAGAATAATGCGAGTCACTCATATTTTGGCAATGTACAAAAATACAAACCTACTGGGATGAAGTTTTTCAGGCTAAAGAAGAAATAATAGGATACAAGATACCCAAAGACCCACATATTGTGTACTTGGGCTGGCTGGAGTGATAAGAGATACACAGGAAAGACATCTTCTTAAAACCTTGATAGTGGTATCTAAAAAGGCGATTACCAGCAAATGGTTAAAAAGTGACCCTCCACACCTGACACAATGGATATCAATAGTAGAGGAAATCTTCACAATGGAGAAAATGACCTACTATCTAAGGATCAAGTCCAATACCTGAAACAACTTGGTTTAATTACACAAATCAGAAAGAACTTCCCCTACATAAGACTGGAACGCCAGACAAATCTATATAAGAACTGTGCGACCCCCACATCCCCTAAACATGGACTCTGGTATACCATTGTCGTACTTTTGTTGCCCTTCTCTTTTCACTTTTCTTTTTGTGCGTTTTATGCAGAATTGAAAAAGTTATAAAAAGTAAAAAGAAAAAAAGGATTTTGTAATTTTTATGGTGGGGTAATCAATTGTAATCCTCAGACGACTTAAAAAAAAACCCCCAAAAAACCTTAATAACAGTGAAAGCTGCAGAAAAATACCTTGAAGTGAAAGATTTAAACTGGGAAACTGTTGAAAGTATGATGGGAAAACAAGTAGGACCATCAGAAACCGGCTGTGACATAAGCATGCAGACAGATTAGTAATTATGAGGACGAATTGGATTATATATTTCATTATGTTGGGTTAAAACATACAGTACGGAAAACTATTATTTATTTTTTTCTGGGGGTGAGTTGTTTCCTGCTTCCTCATTTCACTCCTTATCAGTTGGTGGCGGTGATGCACTTTAACCAGTTTGCCAATCACCATAAAACATTACATGAAGAAGAAGAGGTACATTTATCAGCTAAATTCATATTTCTGTCAGATCTACTTTTAAAAGTAATACTCTATTCAACAAAACCAACATTTTACAACGTTTGAAATGAAGTGTAATTAATATTTTGGAGAAATGCTTGATTTCAAACTCTCAACAGATACATGATTTGTAAAGGAAGTAAAAGCTATTTTATGTACCAGTAAACACTGATTGTTGAAATGCTAATGGACGTTTGGATTTGATTATTGAAAAAAAGTTATACATCGTTTTTTACATCCTATTTTCTATTGAAATGTAGATAAAAACAGATCAGTTACTTTTTACCAATATTCACTCTTATTATTCAATATGGAAGAGTCTTTCGGTGAATTGAAAATCATAAAAAACATCTATATATATATGCAATAAAAAACCCATCATCAGTATGAACAAGAACAGGACAAAAACACAGTAAATCTGACTGATGTTTATTTGTGTACATGCATGGGGAACTAATGAGACTGAGGCACAATACGAGCTCCTATGGCCTGTGAACATTTTCATTGTTAATCTAATAACTTCACATCCATTTAAACAGTTGTGATGAAGGTTCAGAGTTAAAAGATCAATATGAAAGATAAATATTATTCACATTAAACATAGTGTGCTGAACAGAGAGACTGCAATAAGCCACAGAAGTATTAACACTGCATGTAAACAAGCCAGTCTCACAGGCTGCAAGCTCTACGTTTAAAACATAGAACTCGTAGTTGGCACATTAGGTTGGTGTAAAAAAGTAAAGGCAATCAACTTTAAATGGTCAGGAATTAAATATCTGGAATTAAAAGCTAGAATGAAATGAGCTGAAAGGCACCATCTGTCCATCTGAAGCACTTTAAAAGAAAAGTTTACAATTCCAAAGCCAAAAGGAATATAAAGAGACATGGATACAGATGAGGTGAGAAGCTATCATTGGTTTAGGACTACTATAGGCACTGCGGGGGGATTAACAGCAGCGTTTTAAACAGAGTACATCTGTAGTGACGGATTAGTCTTTCCTCTCCTCCTTTAGCTCAAAGTGAATCATAGAAAACAGGCACTTAGCAGGGCATCGATACATGAGAATAGAAGATCTTTGCAAATGAAAGGGAAACCCTCCCTCCCTACTTAAACTCATCCTTAAAGGATGTGTGCATTTAAAGTTTTCATACAACAATCTAATTATATTACAGCTAACAAAATCTATATATCTATTAGCTTTCTAGAATTAAGGCATTTAGTTATTAATTTATTTCTCTCTCAGCAGCATAGTAGATCTGAATATTATTTATTGCATTTGTTACCAAATTAATACAATTCTGTTAATTACATCTAAAAATAAGGGCTTTAAAATCTTTGTTTTTCAAGTATACTTTTTTTTTCATCTAGTGTTTAAATCACATTGTAAAGGGGTTTGTTTTAAGTGCATACAGCATTAGTCTGAGCTGACAGAGGAGCAGATCTCACTAAACGCTCCGTTTCTTTTCCCTGAGCTCTGAAGGAAGATTTAATGGAGGGGAAAAAGAAAAAAGAGCCACTGTGAGCGACAGCTCCGCAACTTTAACAGCTGTTAAGCAGGTAATGCTAGCACTGCTGCTGCACTGTACATTACACAAGTATTAAACAAACCAGTTTTCTTTTTTTTTTCCGTCTGAAGATACTTGGAGGTAGACATTAGAAACCAGGATTTAAGACGACAGGATTTAGTAGCTGTCCAAACACTGCAGGTAGTGTAGCACCGGGGGCGTCCGGCTTAGTCCGTCTTCCACACCACGTTCAAGACCTTCACGACTTCCTCATAGATGATGAAGACTATGGCGACATCCAAACACACCCGACCCATACGAGGAATGGTGCCTTTGTAGAACCTGGTTGTGCAGAGAGGACTATGTTACTTGAAGACATGATTCAGACTGACAAGACAGCTAGGAGCTTCCATTTAAACCTTGTTTAGTGTTGAAAGGTGCACAAATTGCAGGAAGAGGTGTGGAAAACACTAGGGCTGAAACAATTAATCCGATTAATGGTGATTTATCGGATTAATTGTTCGGTAGATGGCAGCTCACAATTAGCCTGGTTCTGCTATAGATTTCTTCCTGTTAAAAGGGAGATTTTCCTCTCCACTGTCGCTAAAAGCATGCTTATTGTGAGGGATTGCCTTTAAGTCAATGAGTCGATGCAATCAACTGGTTTTCCTTAGATAGAAAACTTTGAATCAATCTAACTGGATGGTCTGGTGAACTGTAAAGTGCCTTGAGATTACATGTTGTAAATTGGCGCCATAGAAATAAACTGAATTGAATTGAATTATTCGATTATTGGACTATTAATGATCACATTCCTTCTCTATGCCACATGACTGAGCTTGAGAAATTTCTGTCTCAAGATCAAGGGTCTTCAATGTTTTCCAGGCCAAGGACCTCAAAACTGATAGCGAGATGAAGCGGGATCCCCTAATTATATATATATATATTGTATGAAATTGTTTCATATCAAACTGGTCCTTTAGTTACTCTATTATAGATGGAGTAATGTAATGAAAGTAATTTCTCCCTGAGATTATTAAAGTATTTCTGAATCTGATTCCTGGTTGATGGGACAGGTGTTGTGAATGAAACGGTGCCCAGCTTAAAAGAGCTCCTGTGTGTCGCTGAATGTGAGCATTGATGACTGAAAGACATCTTCTGCCTCCATTTATCTGTTTACTACAGTGTGTTGAATTCATGTTAAAGGAATAGTACACCCAAAACATGATTAGCCTTCATTTTCTACTCACCCCCATGCTGAACAACACCCTGGAGTACTTTTTTGATATCTCAAATGCATCTGGAGATCTGGGAGGCTTCTTGCTGTCTGCTGACATTCAAATAATGGAGGTCTATGGCGCCCGAGGCAGAAAGGTCCATAAAAGTCCACAAAAAACGTGTCAATATTCCTCCATACTGCTCGTCCAATATATTCCAAGTGTCCTGAGTGGGTAGCATCCCTAATTTACTCGAAACGAAGTCATTTAGAATGTTTTTAGAGCATAAACAGTAGTGTATAGGATTTCCTGAAAGCGCGCACCTGCGCGTTCACGACGCTACGGAAGCCGGCAGCCCAAACCAGATGAAAGTGCGCATTCAGCGTCTGCTCTGCCGATAATGCAAGCGTAGAAGAAGAAATGTGCTGTTTACCTGTGCAAAGAAAGAAACAACGAAAGAAAAATGTCTGAGGACTTCAGTGTTGAGGAAGAGCATGAGTTCTTTGCTGAGCTGAATGCGCACTTTCATCTGGTTTGGTCTGCCGCGGTTTCCGTAGCGTCGTGAACGCGCTTTCAGGAAATCTATACACTACTGTTTATGCTCTAAAAACATTCTAAATGACTTCGTTTCGAGTAAATTCTGGACGCTACCCACTCAGGACACTTGGAATACATTGGACGAGCAGTATGGAGGAATACTGAAACGTTTTTTGTGGACTTTTATGGACCTTTCTGCCTCAGGTGCTGGGTACCTCCATTATTTGAATGTCAGCAGACAGCAAGAAGCCTCCCAGATCTCCAGATGCATTTGAGATATCAAAAAAGTACTCCAGAGTGTTGTTCAGCATGGGGGTGAGTAGAAAATGAAGGCTAATCATGTTTTGGGTGTACTATTCCTTTAACCTGGATTTAAAGAAATTTCAATTAATGGAAAATGATTGCAGGGGGAATAAAAAAAAAAAAAAAAAAAAAAAAGGTCTAATCAAACAAAACATTCATGACCCCCATGCAGTACCTCCATGGACCCAATAGGTCTCACAGACCCCCTGTTAACCGGTTAACCTCTGCTCTAGAACGTTAAAGCTGCTGGAGACATCTCCCCAAAAGATTTGAAGTGGAAAACCCGTTTTTCAACCAACGGTTATAGGGGTGAACCCTATCGACATGTACTTACGCCTTAGGGCCTTCATGCTTCATGATCTTTATGGCACAGTCCAGTGTGCTCTTGTACTTGTGGGCTTCAAGTCCCTGTGGATAAAAAGCAGAGGTCACTAAAAGCTCCCGGCTGAGTTGACGGAGAAGGAACAAAAATTTCATGCAGCTAACCTGCATCCTGGTCTTAATCACATCCAGCGGAGTGTTTCCAAAGACGCTGGCGGCACCAGCAATAGCTCCAAACAGCCCGGTTATCAAGGGGTTCATGGTTTTGTTGGCATCATCACCTTAAAATAGAACAAGAAACCTCTTAATAGAGCTGCATTATTAAATTAATTCCAATACAGAGTTTGTTTTCCTACCTTTGTACCAGTTCCTCAGTGAGGTCATGACGTAGAAGCGGATGGCCTGATTGGAGCCCTGTTTGAGGACAGTGGCAGTCAGACCCTGATAGGTCCCCTTCAGTCCTAAACAAGCATCAGACAAAAACAATTAATCATCTAAGTAAAATAGGGACATTATGTGTTAAATTACATTTAAGAGTCCCAGAAAAGAAGCTGAGCTGCTAATTGACTACTTGAGCCAGAAGCATATAGAGGCAGTGAACCAGTAGGGGGCAGTATAATATAAACAAAACCATCCTCACCTTCAGATCTTATGATCTCTCTGACCCCATGAAAAAATCCTCTATACTTTGGGTTGGCTGATGTTTGATCGTGGATGAATTTAACCTAAAAAGAAACAGAATCAGAGATAAATTAATCGGCACTATAATCGGCATTAAACTATACGGCACCAGGGCTGCAAACTTCTGCCATAGTTGGCTTCATCACAGGTGGGGACAACACAGAGTACAGACATTAAACCAAGGACTTTGTAGACTGGTGCCAATAAAACCACCTCCATTAATGCAGGGAAAACCAAGGAGCTAGTGGTGGACTTACGCAGAAGCAAATCCACCAAACTGACCCCAGTGATCATTCAGGGAACAGACATTGAGATAGTTCACTCTTATAATCAATCAACCAATCAATTAATCACTGTCTTTAATAAAGATTTCAGTTTCATTACAAACCGTTCATCACATACATCACATACACTGGGGGGGGGGTGGACAGGGGAATGATTGACTGAGGCCCTGCGTGCCACAGAACGCTGCTGTTTGCCGCATTCTTTCAGCTGCCAGGGGCCCTGAAATGAGGCGGTTCCCTTACAGGGCTGCCTTTATCTCTGTGGCAAGAGAGGAGCCACATTGGGGATGGAGAGTGAGGGGAAAAAAAAGGACATTTAACACTTTATCCTAGACAGGGTACAGTTTGAGATACCAAAAAAAAAACATCTCAGCACAAGAAAAGCACATATAACAGGATACAAACATTTCAGCAGAAGGGAAACCTTTGAGGCCGGAGTAACCTGTGAGTCAATCTGGTATTTGAGCATCAATCTGTGTGTATGGGTGAGTGCGTTCAATCTGTCCATGAACGCTCTCCAGAGGCCATTGTCCTTGATAAGACGGAAGTTTATCAACTGGCGCTATAGTTCTGAACACATTAGCACATGTCCGCTGGTGGTGGTGGTGGTGGAGGAGTATCCTGGGGATCCATACTATTCTGGGGATAGCAGTTCTGGGCCCTTCCGCCATAACATCCTGGGCAGTGTTGATAACGGGGAGGCCGAAACACAAAATACACTTTTTTGTTTTGAGAGCAAGATGCACAGAATCTTCTGTCAGCCTTGAAGTCTTTTGTCGCTGGGCTCCACATGGCGAATCCAATATTCCGAATTTGTTGGGCTTTTTCGCCTTAAGGTGAGCGTGTACATCCGAGATATTATCCCATTTCACCTTTGAGTTTAACCACCACAGCCAGCTTGCGTTTTGAGCGTTTTAACTGCTGCCAGCAGCCTGATCAACACCCAAATTGCCATTGACATCCTCTGTAATTGTAGATACATTAGGTTTACTCCAAATCCAAAATCTCAGTATCATAAATCCGAAAACCCATATGTCTTCCAAGTCCTCCTCCAAGTCTTCCATGCGTCCATGGTGCATCCCACAAATTATGCTCCAGCAGGACAGTCCCATTTTCCTTGTCTTTCAGTTGAGAAATTTTGATCAATTTCATTGAGAGACCAGCTGAACAGATCCATTGTTTGAATTTGAGTGATATGATGAGAAGGACACAGCAAAGCAGGGACAGAGCAGGGAGGTGCAGCAGCAGCAGAAAATGTGATCACCTCCTTCGGGTTCAGCAGTCACCATATACAAGTTATAAGTACCTGGGTGTTCACCTCAACAACAAACTGGACTGGACTCACAACGCTGAGGCTCTCTACAAGAAGGGTCAGAGCAGACTCTTCCTGCTGAGGAGACTGAGGTCTTTTGGAGTGCAGGGGGCACTAAAAAGAGTGTGGCATCAGCCATCTTCTATGGACCTGTCTGATGGAGAAGTGGCTTATCTGTAGCTGAGGAAGGCCAGATCTGTGATCGGATGCCCTCTGGACTCAGTGCAGGAGGTGGGAAACAAAGAATCCTAACTAAAATAACATCTCTGTTGGATACTGACTACCACCCCATGCATGAAGCTGATGCTGAACTGAGAGCTCCTTCAGAAACAGGCTGCTGCACCCTAAATGCACCAGGGAGCGTTATCACAGATCCGGCTGGTTTATGCTCACAGTGTCACAGTGAACACAGATATGCCCCGCCCCTCCTGCAGACACTCTGCTGCACCTCTCCAAAATTGTAGGTGACCGCAGACAGGAGGCCTCTGATTGGTCAAATCTACATCCGCTCTACTCTATACGTACAGTATTTCCTGTTTGGTACCTTACAGGCTTGTCTCGTTTGAATGACCGCCATTGTGGAAAACGAGTCGTGAAGTTGGACCAGCTAGAAGAGCGAGGTGAGCGAGAACGCTGGGACCCTTTTTCCACCTGGATCCCCGCTGTTTTTCGCCCTCATGTCCCTCCATTGTCATACAAACTTGCCCCCACTTCCTCACCGCCTCAGCCGTATCTAGACCCAGAGCTAGTTCTTGGTCCCTCTTGCGTTGTGGCGTGGAATAACATAGCGCAGACCACGCTTCAATATTGAGTGTAAATCAAAAGTGTCTGCCATAAGCTCACTGCGACACACTGCTGCGGGAGGATAACCCGCTCTTAAGGCTTTATAACCATCACTATTTAGAGTGTGTGTGGACTTTTGGCAGAATTTTGAGGCCATAAGTGTGGAAATCACAGCGGACAAAGCACTCAATCTGAATCCACCTTAAGGTTTATTGGATACATTTTTAAGATGTTTTTAGGAAGGACTTGTCCTGGAGCAGATTCATCATGAACGTCTCATATGGGATCCCCAGAACAAGCAAAACAAGCCACAATGTCAGTGTTTTAATAATATAAATATATGCCTTTAATGATAGAAAAATGGACAGTTTTTTTTTTATTCAAATCTAGAGGAAAAGTCCGATCATATTCAGAATTCCAACTTCTGAAAGTACTTTAAAGATGAAATTATTACAAACTGTTGTTTTTAATTAAGAGTAATTTTCATTTGAATGTGCTTTACTGGAGGCATCCATGTTTGTCAAAGAACACTACTGCCACCTACTGGTTTGTGACGTCACGGTGCGGTATCGGCTGTTGATCAAGTCCCAGTGCTGTATCAGGTGTTTGTATCAACGCGCTACTATCCAAGTCATCTTGAAAACATTCTTCTTCCAAATGTTGGCTACATATTACGTGTTTTTTTCCTCTGGCCAGAAGTTCGATGGCAAATCCTCCCTCTTTAAGTTGGGAAGCCAACGTAAACCCGTCCGTGGAGGATCAGGAATAGCAAAGGTGAAATAACTAATTTTTTTCCACTTTTACTTGATATATTAAAACATCCAACTGCCATGCACGTGGGCATTGTCAGTTTCACTACAGCTCTGGTGAATTTCAATGGTGAAGTCCTCTGGAAATCTTCAATAATTGTTGTTGATTGCAGATGTGTCTAGTAGTTCCCGTTGGTTTTGCTTGTAAAGTGAGGAGAATGGCGCTAGGCTTACCGCACCGTGACGTCACTGCTGGAAGATGTCAGAGAGGGGTTACTATATTTGGGCAAAAATGGCCGCTCCCAGACTCAGTGATCACAATGAAAAGTATTGTTTTTATTTTTTTACTGATTAACGCTAAATTCATCAAATCACTTTAAAAGTATTAGTTTTAGTTATAAATAGTGACCCATTGGTTATTCATTGCTGACCGGACAGATAAATATAAGCATTTTCTTCTAAGTATGTAAAAATTTATCTAAAGGTTTACTCCTCCAGTTGGATTATTTTTCTCCTAAGATTTACAATTTAAACATTCCCATATAGCATACACATATTCATTTAGAAATATTATCTTTCCTCACCTTAACGGTCTCCATCGGACAGACTACAAACACCGCCTCCGCCACTCCGGCTCCCAGACCGCAGAGGAACCCTCGCCTGCTGTCGAGTTTACCGCTTTCATCTCGCATTTTATTACTGAGGAACTCAAACATCCCAAACCTGCAAAGATCAAGCAGACAAAGAAAATCACAGAGAAAAACTCAGTGATTTCTACGTCATTTTAAAACAGTTTTTCCTCAGATGTTGTTAAGCAATAATCTCAGTTAAGATGTTTTATTTGTTTCGTTTTTTCCTTTTTTTTTGCAATTAAACAACTTGCCATTCTGAAAATCTGCCAGAACTTAAAAAATATATAGTTCACTATATCATGGATCAATATTAAGCTTTAGGCTTTATAACAAATCAGTATTTATTGTGTGTGAGCTGTGAAAATTAGTGACTGGGAGAAAACGACAAAATAAAAAGATGATTTATGTAAAAATCACTGTAAATGAAAATAGGAAGATAAATAAAATATCCCTAGAACCATTTTTTTTAATTTTCCTCCACATTAGATAAAAGCTGGTATGTGTTTAGTGGTGAGGCCGCCGTACCGGACTGCTGCTTTGGGTATGGAGCCGTAGAGCAGCGAGCTCAGGCCTCTGTAGAGCCCCTTCACCCCATGGCCGTTCACTGTCTGCTTCACGCAGTCAACTGTTGGGCGTCAGAAAAGGAGAAAAACACTGAAACATGGACAGGATTTAATTCATAAAAGGATCAAAGCAGATAAATATTAATCAAACGGTAGCTCTGCTTTCAGGTTTATCTTGACTAAGGGTCAAGATCTCAGCCAAAGTTCAAAAGACAGAAACCTCCTCCCTGCTACGTCAAAACCTGTTTGCTTGTGCTTTAACCTGTGATAACAGGAGGTACTTTAGGTTAAACACATAGCATACTCCATGCAAATATCTGATTTAATTCTGACAAAATACTCCAATACTCTTCAGTTGTGACTTTTAATAAAAACTACAGCCTTAATTCTCAGATTGAAACCATTTTATAAAGAATAAATTTAGATTTCTTGCCCCACATCTCATATATTATTTTAAAAAGTAGTTTCCAATCTACATTTTATTTTTTTTTATTCTTTTTCTGACAGCTCTGAAGAATAAACCTGAAAAACCAAACTTAAATTAGGGTGTTGGCAGTATTATCCTGTGGGACTGTTTTCTTGCTAATAGTGCTGATGCATGTATTCCACATTTTGGGTTAATTATCAAAATAAGAAGATTCGTTACCAATTATCTAGTTTCACTCCAAATATATATATATATAAAAAAAATCTGTCCATTGGAAATATTTTACCTGTAGCCAGTTTGCCTAATGCTAATGCTAACCTCTGGTTAGTGGCAGAAATAAATCAGCAGTATTGATCATATTAAAGCAAACAGCTCTGGTATCAGAAAAGTATGAGGATCTGAAAGGTGCAGGTATCCAGATTCAATCAGAACTTAGTATAGAAGTGGAAAAATGTGGAACAGTGCAACTCTAGTTTTAAATAATTAAAACAGCACTAAGATAACTTTAGCCACTAAATTCTCTGTGAAAAAATGCTGATCATTCTTTAATAAGATCCTCATCAAACGGACATGCAATGTTTGTTTTAGAACCTAATGTGTGTAACCAGGCTCCGACTGGGAACGATTTTCGGCCCCTGGCATTTTTCCATCTACCAGATGGATCTACCAGATCTGCCAGATGTCACTGACTCACGTTTTCCAGCCAAAAAATTGTTTAGAAACCGCCTGGATATACGAAATCTCGCTTAAGTTGAACCAAAGTCTTATGATCTTTAAGGCCATAAATCTAAAGAAAAACATTTTTTACCCATAGACGGCCATCCTAAACTACCAGATTGGGAAACATCCCAACCCGGCAACAATGCATGTAAGATGGAAGCGTTAGCCTTTAGATGCAAAACCTCATCATGCATTGCAACATATTTTTGCAAAATATTCTAACATAAATTCGCTAAGCAAAAGAGGAGCATTGTAGTTTGGTTTAAAGAAAGCATTTTAGTTTATTGTACTTTAGTTTGATGCAAAGATTTTACAGTTTGAAGATATATAAAATTACACCACATGCCAACCATCACAAAGATGTGCATGACAAGGATGGGCTATGAATACTGCATGCATCATGTAGGTAGTTAACATTGTATTACTCCTTGAGCTCCTTTAGTTATTTACTGTCACAGGTAGGTTCTTCGGCCAGACAGTAAGAGATGAAGCCAGTATGATTTAAGAAAAGCCGGCCCTCTCTCTGTGTGTAACGAACCCTGTGATTGATTTTTTTGTTGTTTTATACACAAACTATGACAAAAATCGGACTAAATCACGAAATAAAACAGCGTGTTTGGATGTAAGGAGAGTGGAGACATAGGAAACTATGTAATACGTATTACTAAGGGTATACTGGCCTGACTCGGTATGCTGTGCTGACAGAACACCATAAAGTAGCGCTATGGGTCACATGACTCATTCAAAGATTTCTCAGATCCTTTCAAGTTACATGTGTGTGTTTTTAAGAAGAGCAGCCCGCACAGATCATAGATGCCTAATATTGAATATAAATGATTATTGACCTAAAAAAAATACTTTGATAAATTTAAAAATTAAACTAGAACTAAAGTTCTGCATAGTTGCTTTAAAGCAGAATAATTTACGTTTTTGAACCTTGGACATCATTTGACGTTTCAAGTTAATTACCGTTTGCCGAACTGAATTACACCAAGAGGGTTTTAAAAGAAAGCAAACTCACCAATTCCTCTGTATCTGGGAGGGTTAGCTTTCTCATCGAGCTGCAGCTGTGTTTTCACGTACTCCGTTGGGAAGGTGATGCAGATCTCAATGCCTCCTGCAATGCCGCCTGAATGAACAGAAAACATCTGGTTTAGGATGGTTTCCTCTGGCCAAACCCAAACAAAGAACCCATCACGGTTCAGCCTACGAGGAAAACGAGACTTTCTGTTCACACAATGGTCAGGCTGCATCAGATGGGGTAAAAAACAATCATCCAGTTTAGGGTTTTTCAAAAGTAGTACATAAAATAGAACAAAAAATAAAGTATTTGATTATCATTAATGTGATGAATCTAGTTGAAGGTTTCCCAATAAAGCTAAACTGTTTCTGTACAGATAGGCTAAGTAAGTAGCCCATTTTCCCATTTTAAAAGATGTGTGTCAATAAAAGTACAAACCCACTAACTCACAGAGGGACTTTAACTGGACTTTAACAGTCACCAGCTTCTCCAACACAAACAGATCTACAGTATTCAACTTTAGCACCTTGGTAAAGGATTCAAACCTCTTCACATCTTCTCTCACTTGTACAACAAAGTTCAATTTTTTTTAGTTGGCGCCAAGTCTGGACACTATAATCGATTTTATCGATTAATTACATTTGTAGTTTATTAATGATTACATTTACAAAAAATACATACAAAAAAGAGTGAGAGAGAAGAATATTGGGTAATGCTTTCTTTTGAAGTTCACCAATAACCATGTAATAACATGGTAATATGATATTACTTGGTAACAAGAAAAACTTTATTTGGTAAAAAACCCCAAAATTAAGGTGTATATGCAGGTAATTACCTGCATGCAATTATTATATTACTATATAACAATGAAGACTGCAGCTTACAAAGTGAATTGTAACTTGTGATCAGATTAATAAAGCATTATAAAACTGAACTGAAGTTAAATATAAATAAGAGTTTAATTAAGAAGATTGGCTTGCTGTCTGCTAGGTTTGGTTTTCTGTTATATGCCAAGTAATAAACTCCGTTTTACTAGATAATAATACATTAATTTATTGCTGCCGGTGAAATGGCTGAGTTACCTGTTAATAACCAAAGTCTGACTTAACCTTGTTTGCCTAAAATTTGAAGCACATTACTTTCCAAAATTCTTCATAAAGCGTTTCTTGTTACCTAGTAATATAGTATAACTTGCTATGTTATGCCTGAAACATGACCTATTGTCACTCTTGTGCAATATTCTTTTCCCACTTTGCAATTACACATGCTAACTTCTGTGTAGTCTGTATAATTTCTACTTATTTATATGGTCAGTGCATTTCTGCGGTGCAAATGCAATAATTAAGTCAACTCCTGTGTACTCTTTCCTTAGCTCTTTACTGTGCAGAAATTTTTTATATCTGAAGGAAACATATTCCAGGACATTATGTTTCTTAACCTTTTTTGTACTATAGACACTCTTTTATATTATTGTCTTTTGTATTTTTATCTTTAATGGGATCTTGCTTTAACTCTTTGTACTCTATAAAAGCTACTGGAACCAGAATTTCACTGAAGGAGTAATCCCAAAGGATAAATAAAGTTCAGTCCAAGTCTAAAAATATTTAACTTACAGAAGGGATGATTAAAAGAAAGGTTATTTATTTCCTTTCTAGTTTGTAATTCTAAAGAAAAAAAAATGTTAGTTGGATTTGGTATTGAAATAACATTTTATTTTTAAACCAATTTGGCCCCGTCTATGTTTCAGCGAATCAATAACCAATTTAAATGGCGTAAAGTGGTGCATAATACTCAAGATAATCATTATGATAATCAAAATATAAGTCAGTCAGTATTTTTCTTTAAATAAGTGTATTTTTAAGTATGGGATGGGAAAATATGATTTATAATGAAAAAAAACCCAAAACATTTTATTTTAAGGTAATAATATCTGATAATCCTATTTCAATGGCATAAATTCTCATTTTATTGTTCATCATCTTATTTACCTGCTCAAATTAAGGACAAATACACTTATTATAAGATTATTTTTTACCTATCAGTTTTGGAAAAAAAAAAGTTATCAGGCATATATTCTAATGAAATTCCAAATACTTTACAACTAAATGAGATACAGAGCAACTACTTCCTTAGAATATCTGGTTCTATGACAGTTTGTTGCATTTGCAATAAAGTCCCTATTAAAAAAGAAATACAATTTTCAAATCTGATTAAAATTACAGTCTTGTTACATTACAGACACTAACTTTTTTCCCTCCAGCCTTTTAGGTGGTGGAAATGGGCTCAGGCCGCCACACAGAAGGGAACATAGAGCTGCAGCGGATCAGGGGGAAGTGATTAGTTTATGATACAGCACTAAAGAGAAAAGAATCAACCCCTGCAGCATAATCATTTCTACTATTGTGATTGGTGCAAACAAAAACAAAAAAATCAACGGCTTAACAAAATTGCCAAATATCAACATTTTTTTTTTTAACAACGCAAAAATTTTGATTTTTGTTCTCTTAAAGGAATAGTACACCCAAAACATGATTAGCCTTCATTTTCTACTCACCCCCATGCTGAACAACACCCTGGAGTACTTTTTTGATATCTCAAATGCATCTGGAGATCTGGGAGGCTTCTTGCTGTCTGCTGACATTCAAATAATGGAGGTCTATGGCGCCCGAGACAGAAAGGTCCATAAAAGTCCACAAAAACGTGTCAATATTCCTCCATACTGCTCGTCCAATGTATTCCAAGTGTCCTGAGTGGGTAGCATCCAGAATTTACTCGAAACGAAGTCATTTAGAATGTTTTTAGAGCATAAACAGTAGTGTATAGGATTTCCTGAAAGCACGCACATTCGCGATCACGACGCTACGGAAACCGCGGCAGACCAAACCAGACGAAAGTGCGCATTCAGCTCGGCAAAGAACTCATGCTCTTCCTCAACACTGAAGTCCTCAGACATTTTTCTTTCGTTGTTTCTTTCTTTGCACAGGTAAACAGCACATTTCTTCTTCTACGCTTGCATTATCGGCAGAGCAGACGCTGAATGCGCACTTTCATCTGGTTTGGTCTGCCGGCTTCCATAGCGTTGTGATCGTGCAGGTGCGCGCTTTCAGGAAATCCTATACACTACTGTTTATGCTCTAAAAACATTCTAAATGACTTCGTTTCGAGTAAATTCTGGATGCTACCCACTCAGGACACTTGGAATACATTGGACGAGCAGTATGGAGGAATATTGAAATGTTTTTTGTGGACTTTTATGGACCTTTCTGCCTCGGGCGCCATAGACCTCCATTATTTGAATGTCAGCAGACAGCAAGAAGCCTCCCAGATCTCCAGATGCATTTGAGATATCAAAAAAGTAAGAGTGTTGTTCAGCATGGGGGTGAGTAGAAAATGAAGGCTAATCATGTTTTGGGTGTACTATTCCTTTAAAGCTGGATCAAAGCATTATAAAATAAGCAAATTAAGTAATAATGTAATTTGATGACCCCAAAATGTCAGTCTCTAGTGAGGACCATGTGTTGACTCCCATTGATTTTCAGTTATTTTCAACCTTTTCTATGCCCTAACCCTAAAACTTACCCTAAACCTACCCTTTACCAATGCATACCTCACCCTAACCCTAACCAACTGACACCTTAGCTCTAAAGCTAACCATTAGCAAAATAGCATGTGAAGACCGGCTAAATGTCCTCACTTTGCAAATACTGGTCCTCAATTTGATGGAGAAATTGGTCCTAGACAGGTACACACACAGACACGTGAAAACCCTGTTTATAAACAAATTTTTTGGTGATAATATTTTTTGCCCTTTTATTTATTCTTTTTTTTATTGTATTTTTTTTAAATAAATAAATATATATTTATAAATAAATATTTTTTTTTATTATTATTAATTAGTATGCATGTTCCTGAATGTTGTGGATATACCCTTAAACTAATAGCTAAATCATATCAACTCAGTCAGAATCAATGTAAAATAAAGAATAATGATACAAAAGCTAAAAAAGAAGTAAAAATTCCCATCTTTAAGAATCTATAGTTATAAAATATAATCAATGTAAACACCCAATAAAATACAACATGCTTGAAAAACTTAACATTGCACAGGATGTAAGAAATACAGAAAAAACCCCAGATAATTAGACAGAGAAGGAATTGTCAACGAAGTCGATGCTGGACTAAATGCCTCCAGTAGAGCAGTTCCACCTTAAATGAGTCGCTGTCACACATCTGCTGTTAAACAGCAAACAGGAAGCTGGTAGCTGATTGGATGAGCTGCTCTCAGCATGATTCTGCCCTCACATACTCTGTTCAAAGTGCAGGGGATGTGTAACCTCCAGATCAGCACTGTGCACCACATTAGTGAGCACAGCAGATCCTGTGTCTGCGAGTGCAAGCATTCTTGAAATGCGCACAAGTCGAACTTTAAAAACTCTCAGTTGAAGAATTAAAGCTTGAACTGATAAAACAAAAGGCAGAAATAACATTTTATATTAATTATATAATAGTTTATCATTAAAAAAATCTCTTTTAAAGAACTTCTTTTGCTTTAACTTACATGTACACTTATGGATTAAAAGGATGTAGTATGTTGATGCTCCTAACATGCACCCCCCCCAACAAAAAATAAAATAAAAGAATGTATCATGCAGTGAAGTTCAACACAGCAGTGGTTCAAGCAAAAACTCACACAAACAAGTCAGGATTTTGTGCAGAAGCAAAAATCACAAGAAAACGGCTTTCCCAAACCATGGTTTGCACAAAACTTTCTAGTGTTTTATGGGTGCCAGTTCTGAGGAACAAACGTGCTGTTAAGACACACCCAGGCAGTGGGTTGTTTAGTTACAGGCTGGTTCCAAAGCTACAAATTAAACCGGGATCAAAACCACAGTGCACAACACAGTCATTAAGAGACAAACTCTGAGCAGTACCTGCAGCGGTCCACATATTCAGGCTGGGGAAAGACAAAGAATGAGCATGTGTTCTGTCAGTTCCAGGATCAGTTGAGCAGTAATCTGCTGCTAGATTCTGTTGCAGAGGATTTATAACAACAGGAAAGTAAACCTATTATGATAATTAAGCTTTCAATGCAGTAATAATAGCATTCC